GTTGCTGCTTTCAAGGGTCAGAGTCAGCACTGCTATTCTAACTTTCTCTCTTGGTGCGACTGCTTTTTAGCAATTCACTCACGGTTGACAATGCAACAAGGAGTTAATTTCCCTTGCCTAATATTCATGCTCTAGCACTGTGACTCAGTTTTGAAAGCAAGCCCTAGACTGATTCAGGAGGTATGTGGGGTGGAAAAGAACTGTGGGGGGAAGGGAAAGAAGGATGAGTCGGGTTCCATCCTGCCAATGTTTGGGAAATCCCACAATTGAGGGCGATTCCTAGGATCTGTTCTGGTAGCTGTACAGAGCTGAAGGCCCAGACAGTTAGCTGTTGCTCTTAGCTTTTTTCCTCCTCAGCTTTGAGAACACCAGGATCATGGTTTCATACAGTCACCACTCCCCACTTCTCCCCATCTGAAATGCTGCTTAGCTTTAGGGGCCAGGGGGAGCAAAAACAGAAGTTTTTCAAAAATAGAAGGGTGAGGTGGGGAAAAAAGGAACAAGCAAGGGACAAAAGGAAAGCAGCAAATAGCCAGGAAAGAAGAGAGATGGTGGCAACTGTGTCCACCCATGGAGCAGGGAGACCATCCACCAGTGTATCACATGTAGGAGCTCCAGTAAAAGACTAGGAGACACTTAGCTAGCCCCAAGCCACTGTTTGGAATTCTAACCAAAGCATGTTTAATAGAAAATTTTAATAGCAGATCCGAGCCTTGCTTCAGTGTATTGTCTCTGATAGGTTAGTAGCAAATGCTTTAGAGGAAAGTGCAAGAAACACCACACTAGATCATTAAGAAATAATATGCCCCCAGGAGAAGCACTCTTATACAATTAGATGTTATCCATATGAATGTCTAATCTTTTTTCTGAATCCTGCTAAGCTGTTGGCTTCAATGACATCCTGGGTCCCTGAGTTCCAGAGATTAACACATCTGGGGGCGGGGGAGGAATAACCTGTTGTAATTTGTTTTTCTGTTTTATATAGAGCTTGATAACCTTCCCCCACCTCCCCTTTTATTCCTGAAATCTAATTTTGGGAGATAGAGTTGCAAGGGCTCTGTAGTCTTACCAATAAAACAAAGGGAGGATGGGAGACTGGTGTTTTTATTAAGGTGGAATCATACTAGGGAAAGCTTAGATTAGACTGTAAAACCCCACTGGTTAGCACTAGGCTTTGCATTTAGAGGGACACACATCTCAGGAATTTCTAATAATAGCTGGTAGTATCCTTCTAACCACAAAGGCTGGTGCTAGCCAGTGGGACTTTAGGGTCCACTCTAAGCTTTCCCTAGCATGATTCCACCTTCATAACACCATTTTCCCCTCATCCCTTTGTTTTATGGGAAAGGAGACAAAACCCTTGCAGCTCCATCAGATAACATTCTCAGAATTTTGTCTATAGCTTCAGACAATAGAGTGCTGAGTGTGACCCAGTCCTACCCATCTTAATTAGTGCACTAATGATTTATGAACTGTAGGGGTTTTTTTTCCATAAGGGAAAATTATAGAAAGTAAATATGAAAGATATTAGGTTCCAGATTGTCCATGTCCTTGGGGCCAATGCAGGACTGTTTCCTCAATTATGGTTTCTGTAGTCTAGTTGATCTTCTCTCCAACCAGTATTGATGGGTAAACCCTACCTTCATGAGCTTTTATTTGATAAAACTAATCTGTTTGGGGTCCCGCAGCCTGCTAGTTAAGTATATCTCCCCTGTCTTTAGAAACCCAAAACTTGTGTAGAATTAGTTATCCCTCCTCCACTTGAGACTTAAAAGTCCATATTTACCTCTATACCTTTTCAAATAGTGCAGTTATGCTCTTTCATGCCTTTTCCTTGGTGGTCATTTGCCTAAGACCTACATATTTAGGTTCGAATCCTTCCTCAGATGTCACTTCCAAACTATATAATCAGGTTTGCTGCTGTTTTCTTGACTCCCCTCCATCTACTCTGTCCAGAATAGAATATGCCAAGTGTGATCACACTGTTGTTATTCCCCTCCACCCCCACACTCCATGATGTGATATCTCCAAATACAGCCTAAAAGCATACCTGTGATTGCATACTCCCTTTTGGCACACACTAGAGAGGAATTATATCAGGTGCAGCAGCTTCTGTTCACTAATGCACATTCAAATAGAAAATGCAGAAATGAAAAGGGGATACAATCAGCTCTCACTGGTTTCAGAGCAAAAATGCAGCTGTTCACTAGTCAGTTGAAATACTAAATGGAAGAGCTAAGTTCTGATGGGTCTAAGTAGACAGGCAGGAGACCTAAAGGTGAGATTTTCAAAAGCAATGCAGTGCTTGCCTAAAGGGAGTTTAGTCATTAACTGCAATGGGAGTAGCATAGACCAATGCTAAGTGCTTTTGAAAATCTCAGTCTGTATGGGCAGCAAAGAGCTAAGCACATAAGAAGCCTGTCAGAGAGCTGTGTTCTACTGGACTGAGCATGTGGCTGAGAGGCAGCAGCCTTGAGATCTATTCCCACTTATTTTCACCTGTCTGTGCCTCAGAGATTCTAAAGCCAGACAGGACCCTTATGATCATCTAGTCTGACCTCCTGTATTTCACAGGCCAGAGAATTTCACCAAATAGTTCCTGCTTCAAGTCCATAACTTCTGGTTGAGCCTCAAGTTTCCTCATCTCTAAGGAGGAGATAAACTTGCCTCTAGAGTGCTTTGAGGTGATGAAGTGCTACATAACTGCTAGGTATTGCTGTTACTCTGAAACTGAAAAACATTCAGTGGGCAAGAGGGCTCTCTTCCTTTTAGTTCACCTGCAAATGTCCTTTCAAGATTCCTTAGTTCATCTGCTCCTGCTTCAGCCCCAGCTGAAGTCATAGTTCTCTGTACATGACATCACAAGTGGCTGCTGTGGAAATTGATCTGTGCAATGCAGCTCTCAGGTAGGAGGAGATCCAAGGCCCAGAGATAGATGGGAAAACAAGAGAGCATGAAGCTAAATCCTAGGTCTGCATGGGGGAGCAAGGCATGGAAGGAAGAGAGAGGGAGCAGGAGTGAGGCCTGCAGAGGAGTCGAGCAGCCACTCATTGTTTTTCTCTTTTGAATATTTTGTAGCCTTTGTCATTCTTTCAGCCTTTGCAGCATTTTGTTTTTGTTCAAATGAAACCCCACCATCTGCAATTCTGGAACTGGGCTGGTAATACGCCTGAAGGAGAACTTTAGAATGTCTCTCAAAATTATGACCTAGGCATCATTGTCTAATTGCAAATCTCAGAAGGTAAACGTCTGTGGGGAAAGTCTGGACTGTGCTCTATTGCCATCAGCTTTATAGAAAATCTGTGGGTAAGTATGACTGTACTATAGTCGCTATAACAACAAGTAAATACACAAATGCCACACAGAGCTAGAGCTCTGTGGACTTCCTTACATGGGAAACGGGCTATGTCTGTGAGAAGAGAGTCACCTCAAAGCCCTTCTTTGGGATACCCAAGAAGGTGAGATCTTTGTGCCCAAACAGTTTGCCTGGAGAAAATGTTCCATGAAAAGAAACAGTGACTTCTCCAAGTGTCTGGAAGGGTGCTTGTGGCAAGACAGTCTCTTTACAGTCAGCAAATATTACTTTTGTTCCTGAAGTTCTTTCTTTATGGAAGAGACCTACTGATCTGAGAGAATGGTCTTTCCATAGCTGGGGACCTAATTCTGTATTGAATTCCACATTGATAGAGAAGATCTCACTTTCTTTTTCATTCCAGAAGCTTAAGTACAATTTCTCTAGAACCCTATGGGTATCATCCCTAGTCCATGATAGATCATATTTCCTGAAGGGTTCATTTCAAACTAGGAACTGAATAGATGCCTAGAGCAGGATTGGCTTCCTTTCTCCCCAGAGTGGCAGTGCACAATACCCGCAGAGAACAGATTACTAGGTAAGATGCTGTGCAGGACACATCTCTGCAGAGTGGGTGTGGGAGCCCTGTGCTTGCATACCCCATTGCAATGAATCTTCTGTAATTTGTGCTGTTTACAGCAATGCTGGTGACTTTTAAAGATTTCTCATTTCTTATGGTAGTGCCCAGGGGCTAACTAAGAACAGCGCCCCCTTGTGCCAGGCACTGTACAAACAGAATAATAGAAAGTCCCTGCCCCCAAGGAGCCTACAATCTGAATAGAGAAGGTAGACAAAGGGTAGGGGAGAGGGATATAGCATACAAGCAGAGTGAATGATGAGATGGCACCATTTTTTTCAAATTTGTTTTGTTATTTCAGCCCTTTCAGTGTTCGGAGAGGATTAGCTAGCTGGCAAGACAAAGGACAAGAGGGGGATGGAGGAGTAGAGACAGTTAGGAAGGAGGTAGGGAGGGGTTACAGAGGAGAAGGAAGGGAGGGGCAGGAAAGGATAGAGCAAACAGCCAATCAGCACAGGGAAGAGAGTGGTGAGAGTGCAAACTGCAGAAAGCTGTTTGATGACAGCATCTGGTCATTTGGTCCCTCAAGAAGGTACATACCTTCACACTAAGTAAACTGAAGTTATGGATACTCCCTCTAGTGTCAGGTGCCCTCTTGGATAGATGTGAACTGACTCTCCTCCCCCCTCCCTTGGAGGAAAACAGGTATCTCTGGATTGTGCTCTTTAGTGAGATTGTCCCCACGGAGACGCTTTGTAAGTTTCTGGCAGTACAGCATGCTAGTTACTGGGACAGTGGGTGAGGTGGAGAGTACTTTAAGCCTTGCACTACTCTCTGTTTATAGCAGTGGGAAATGTTCTGTTTCTCTCCTATTGGGAGCCAGGACTGGAATAGCAGGGGGCTG